GTTGAAATATTGTAGGGGGCGCCGTTGAGCCGTGTTGCATTTTACAGCTTGGCCCAGCCTGACTTTTTTGTTCGTCCTGACCAGCTCTATATGCCTCCCAAATTGCGTAGCTGTAGGTCATACGTGCTTCCGATAGGACTCTATTGAAATTTCGTTGAAATTTTCAAGGTGGCGCTGTGGAGCCATTTTGGCAGTGACATGTCCAAGTCCATGAAAATATCAAATTTTTCGCCAGTCCTGGTGTGTGTGGCGATTTTGATGACTTTTCGAGCATGTTTAGGCCCTCAAAAACGCGTTTCATTGTCACGAATAATAATAATAATAATAATCCGAGCAGTTCCAATAGGGTCTTCGCACCCTTTGGTGCTCGGACCCTAATAAAAAATTTAGGAAAATCATGACATTACTTTTGAATTGTGGTTTAACAAAAATATATTTTTAAAACAAACAAAAAACAAAAACAAGCATGATGGGACCCGTAAAATAATATTTTGTTGAACAACCCTTTGAGCCATCCATCCATCCATCTTCTCCCACTTATCCAGAGTCGGGTCGCGGAGGCAGCAGCCTTAGCAAAGCCGCCCAGACTTCCCGATCCGCACACACCTCCTCCAGCTCTTCCGGGGGGACCCCAAGGCGTTCTCAGGCCAGTTGGGAGACATAATCTCTCCAGCGTGTCCTGGGTCTTCCCCGAGGTCTCCTCCCGGTGGGACGCGCCCGGAACACCTCCCCAGGGAGGCGTCCAGGAGGCATCCGATGCCCGAGCCACCTCAGCTGGCTGTGACTGAGCTCCTCACCCTATCTCTAAGGGAGCGCCCAGCCACCCTGCGGAGGAAACTCATTTCGGCCGCCTGTATCCACGATCTCGTTCTTTCGGGCATTACCCAGATCTCATCATGACCGGAGAGGACTGGGTGGCGGTCGAGACGGCCTGGTCCGGTTACTCTGTGAGCCAATCACTGCAATCAAGTGTTTTCTGTAACTGTCAGTCAGACTTTTGCACCTGCTGACAGGTGTTTGGATTGTGGTCCACTGCTCATCAGCAAAATGTGTCCAGGACAGTTTTGTTTGTTTTTGTTTGTTAAATAATTCTTTTCAACCACAATTCAAAAGCAACGTCTTATTTCACTAAATTATAATTGAGCAAATTTGTATTTACTATTACTGTTTTCAGTTTCTAGTTATTTAAGTCACTATTGTGCATTACTCTATATTTACTCTTTATTTTATGTGTTCCATTATATTTATTTTAGCTTTATTTTTTTATGATTGGTACAAATTTGAGGAATTTCTGTGGACTTTCGTGGACAGTGGGTTCTCCGTGAAGCCCTTTGGAGAGCCCAGCTGACTGAAGTGTGTGTTGCTGGTGTGGGTTTAGGTCATGAGTGTGTTAGTGCTGTGTTGCTGTGACTGGTGTGTGTCGGTGGTGTGTGTTAGTGCTGTGTTACTGCTGTGCCTGGTGTGTGTCGGTGGTGTGTGTGTGTCGCTGAGCGGTGCTGCAGCTCTTCTCTCTTCATCATGATGCCAAACACGCAGCAGCGAGTGTCTGACAGCGCGTCATGTGACTTTTCCTCATTGTTGTCCAGCAGAGACTGTTGAACGCAGCGAGAGAGGAAGAGTGAGACGAACAGCCGGAGAGGAGAGGAGAGAAGAAAAAGACGAGTGATAATTCAGCATTATGGCGCTGCGCGACGAACTTTTAAAGTCTATATGGCACGCGTTTACAGCGCTGGATGTGGACAAAAGCGGGAAAGTGTCTAAATCTCAGCTGAAGGTAGGCTGCTCGGGTTACTGCACTCGGTATTTGAGGGTGAATGATCCGCTTTTGGCCTCAGCTCGTCTCATCTTCTGGTCAAACGTGTTGATTTTTTCTTGCTGAACGCGCTGCTTCCTCTTCTGTTGCTCGTGGAAAAACACAAGTGCGCTTCTTTGTGCCAGCAGCAGAGACGCACCTGTTGATAGTCTGTAGTTGACTGAAGAGGAATCTCACCGTGAACTGGGGCAGCTTTGGATGGAAAAACATCCCAAATACAAGTGCAAACTACTGCACAAGTGTAAACGTGATTGTGATTGACGCAATAGAGGCATTCATGTCTATGAAAGTAATCATGAACTAATTTTAGTGCTAAGAATGAAAGATTTACAAGCAGTTCATCAGTAGAAGAATGAAAGTTAAACCACTGCCAGTTTACTAAAAGTGAACTTCCTACGGCTACAACATCTTGTTTAGCACTTTCACAAACTATATCAACAGTAAAGGTCAAGTTTTAATTTCAGCTGCCTCAGACACTAAAGAACAAAGATAGTACTTGCACCCTAGTTAAACCTGTTTCTACACAAACAGTCGCCTCAAAATACCAGAGTGCTTTGCAGCTCGAAGACATGTTATGTCAGTTGAAGGGGGTGAAATCTCCTCTTTCTGCCTCTACACTCTTGTACATGATTGCATTTGTGTCCAAGTGCAACAGTTGGCCCTCTGGGAAATTACCAGCAATAGTTGAAACAGGCAAAGAAATGTCCTTCAACCGGAACATTTGCTAAACAAAGTAACTCCTGACTCCTACTGAAATCTACCCAAGTATGTCTGAATATTGCCATCACATTTAGGATCTCAGTTTAAGGATCTTGTTCTTTTGTTCGAGTGGGTTAATATTTAGTCTTGATCAATGAAACCTCACTGGCCAATACACTTGTCAGCTTGAGGAGTGCTTCTCAAAAACAGCTGGCTTTAAGAAAAAATCTGTATAAAGAGAACTTCAGTCACTAAGGCAAGCTTCCTTTTTATAATCTGTATTCTTGAAACCCAGTCAATGTCACTGGAGAAAGTTTTTCAGACTTAACAAAGCTTGTATTATCAGTTCATCCATACAATCAAAGATAAACGTGGGTTTGTCCCAATGATTCCAGGTGCTGTCCCACAATTTATGCACCGTCATGAAGATTCCACATGATCCGGTGGCGCTGGAGGAGCACTTTAAAGACGACGATGAGGGTCCCGTCTCCAACCAGGGATACATGCCGTATCTTAACAAGTTCATCCTGGATAAGGTCAGTTGGCAGCACTGGTTTTTACTGCAGTAACGGTTGTGAAGCACATCTGGATGTAGCCAGTACAAGACATTAAAGTCGTGCTAGAAATATTAAACTGAGTTTAGGAGACTGATCAAGTTTGAAGATGAGGATGTAATTCTTCGATCTAAAAGCACAGTGGCTTAGAAAAAACTTCAGCTGCTACCAGTTTGGTAGTTCTCTGCATGTCCTCTTCGTATTTGTGAGGTTTTCTTTGGTGGTTCACATCTATGCACAGATGAGTGACAGTAAACTGACAGTCAACCTTGTTTAAGAGGAAACAATAATGGTCAGTGATTTGACTTTGAGTCACCAGTCTGTGCTGTGACTCATTATCTCTTAGGGTGGAAAAAGTATACATTATCTGGGACAGAAAAACACCAAGCTGACAGAGATACTGGAAAAAATATGGAACACTGAGTCCAAGTTGTCCACTTTGAGAGTATCTGATTCACTAAGACTTGTGTACAGTGTCCTCTGTCTGTCCAGTTACTGAAATCAAAATGATCCAACTGATGAAACTGTTGATGCACTCATCTGGGCTGCCTTCAGGTGTTACCTTTATAGCCATACCATTAATAGCAAGAAGTTTAACCAGCAGCAGTACGCGTGCTTTGTAGGCTACACACAGGAAACCCTAAACCCTGAACAATTAACTGCTGCAGCTTGTTGAGGCCTCGGACCAAGTCTTGCAGATGCTACTCAGGGCTGAACAACCACTACAGCCTCTTCTCTGTTGTTTTCTTTTTTAAGCTATAATTAAGTGTATGTTTTATTTTAAAGCTAAAAATGTGTATAATCCTAGTATTCGCCAGAAAAAATGCTAGAAGATCATGCAAACATGATTATTAT